GATATTTTATATATATATATATATATTTATATATATATATATATATATATATATAAATAAATGGGAAGTAATTTTTGTTTTATAAGTTAATTTTGAGAGTCGTATTAAGCCAATAACTCATTTCTTATGAACAATAATAAAATATATTTCATTGTCTATTTTCATTGTTTTGTTTTAATTTTCTCACGACATAACATATTGCTTTGGTCATTTTTAACCTAAACTTCTAAAAGCATATTTACATAGTGGGATCACAATAAGGCACACTTAGGTCACCATCACACACGCATATACATGTAGAGAGAGAGAGAGAGAGAGGCCAAAATGAGTATTTAGTTTGACATGAAAAGAGAGCCTTTCATTTCTTCAAAACACCTTTGAAATGCTTTTATCGTATGGGTCCATTCTAAAGTCATTGCGGCCAGTGGATTCCAATTTAACTTCTCTCAAATGGCAGGTTTCAATTAGACACATAAATCAAAGTTCAAAGTACCATCACGTTTGCTTTAATTTATCTTTCAGCATTTTAATTGCAACATATCGAAGCAGATAAATCCGAGAAACGAATAAGCCTCTTTATTAATTATAAGATGAGAAATTCTACGGTACCCATCCATTATAATTGTGGAGTATCGGAACAGTTATTTTATTTTTTTATTTTTATTTTTTATAATTACTTGTTTTATTTTTTTTATTTTTGCTTATGAAAGTCAGCTGATGTCCTTACTATTAGGTTCACTAGGGAGTAACATGGATGATTACGAGAGCATCCTTCATTCAAGAATTTCACCGCTTCTACAGAATCCGATTCAATAAAAATATAAGCATGTAGAAAACGTTCTTTAATAATGCAGAGGCCATGATATATTGCCCATAATTCAGCTTGCACTACCAAGCAAGACCCAACCATTCCAGCAAACCCATAATAAAAGGATTCATTACTATCACGTAGGACACATCCGCAAGAGGCCAAATTAATGTTAGAAACAACCCCATCATAGTTCAACTTAAAGGCCCCCGTACTAGGAGGCATCCAACCTAATTGAGAAATTTGGTAGGCCTGGTGGGGTGATGATAAACTTTTAACGTAAGAGGTGTTGGCTAAAAATTGTATTCGAATAAACAATAATGAAAAGCTTATTGACAAAGCATTTAACATGTAAGAATTTATAAAGTGTAAGTTGTTCATGTAATTGAAAAAAAAAAAAAAAAAAATGATGGAAGCCATGTAAAGCACAACAAAGCCACTGGAGATAATGTTGGGCCTCTTCTTTTGAAAAAGTAAAATTATGATGATCATGGGATGTTTTTATAAGAGAATTGTATTAAATTTTTTATGGCAGTTTATTGTGGATCAGACTTGCATTTGAATGTTTAGAAATAAAACGTGGCTTATGCTGTGAATGTGATTCCTTTTTCTTGTCTATTTTGACCTATATTTATGGATGAATTTTATTGTGCTCAACTGCTAGTGGCAATGCCCATCTGAAAGTAATTTGAGACTAATGCTTCGCTTTGGATATTTTCTTCCATGCTTTTGACTATAACAGACTTCTTGAAAAGAATTGCATTTATCCAAAAATACAATTGTAAAGTTCATCATTAAGATCTAAGGATAGCGTTTCCTGTGTTTTTAGAAATGGTCCAAATGGATTTCCTGTATTCATGAAATGAATTTATTAGGTAAAGACCAAACATTTCACCTTTGGAATATATATTTCAAGTTAGATTTATCAAGATAAAGTATGAGTCGTTTAATCTTCATCCCACAATTTTAATTAACTAAAATGGAAGAATGTTGGGCCGGGGGTAGGGGATGGTCAGCAATAACACAATATCATCAAATATGAGCCCATTAACCTTCAATTGAAAGTAGCCACTCAGTACATACTGTTACAGAAAATTCTGGTTATTGAATCTTCAAAATTGTACAAAACGCAAACAGGCAGCAAACGGACAATCTACACTTAACTATGATCATAATGAAATGTGCTTCATAAAAATATCAGCATGTGCCCAAAACAGCACCTAATGTCCTCATCCATGTCACCTAAATTCGTCGTTTCTTTGGGAGCCTGCAACCGTTATGGGGTTTTCGAGTGGTATCTTCGACGAATACAATTGGACTTCTATCCCCTCGAGAATCGGCAGTAAGTCCTTCCCTCCAGCTCAATATTGCTTGTCTTTTTCTCCTAAAATGAGTAAATCCGTTCACTTTCATAACAACAGATTTCAACCCCAAAGCCCTAGCCCTCCGGCCAACAACTTCGGCAGTTGCCTCTTCAGCATACCTAGAAAACTTTTGCCCCCCTGATTTAATGTCTTTCAAGCAACCAGCAGAGCCACTGAGTTTTACATTTCCTTTAGAATCCGTTACAGTAACAAAGGTATTATTACGCAACATCTTTATATGAACAATATCAGCAACCGTCTCATATAGATGCATAGATGTAGCACCCCTCATAAAATTATCTTCATCTATAATTCCTCTTACAAAGTCCATAGGCCTAGAGTTCGAGCCAGTCTCAGCATTATCCTCGCTTCTGAACTCTTTATCTTGCATAAAATCTGGAAGAGCATCTGCATTTGCATTCACATTCTGACCCATATTATTCAAGTTTCTGGGGTTGATGTTCTCCCTATTCTGAATAAAGTTTGGATAAGCATTCAGATCCTGGTTCATTTTATTCAACATTCTGGAGTTATTATTATCTTCTATATCCTGCATAAAACGACGATCATTCATGTTCTTGCTCATATTAATCCTCCTCCAATTAAAATTCGAGCTTGAAAATCCTCTAACATGCCCTGATGTTTCAAAAGATTGAATAAGATCCCTGATAAACACTGCTGAGATGAGCTGGAAAAAAAATAAATAAACCACTACTTGCAATATTAAATGATTATCCAATGAGTCCATTACTACTGCCACAACTCATTTCCTGTTTTTCACGATTTCAACAATTTATGATTCAGAATTGGATGATAACATATATAAATACTGAACGTTACATAAATTCATCTCAAACAATTCAGCTCAGAACTTAAAAAACCACAATTCTGAAACACCCAAATAAACAAAGTAACCACTCACTACTGCACCAATATTTCTAATCAAATAAAAGGAAATCGGTAATAAAATTAATTGAAAAGCAAACCCTAAGACTCCTGAAATGCAGGCATCCAAAAATCATTATGTCAAGAAAAATGCAGACTATCTGACGTTATTGAACATGAAGAATATGAATTCATCACAATCTATGCTAATAGCTAGAAGGCCCCCAAAATCTTCCAAAAGATGGACACAATCATTTTCCCACAACAGAATGGAAGTCCTCCCTCTATAGTTATAGACACATAATTTCACTCCTCCAGAGAAGACTAAAAACGAGTTTACATGAATTCAAATTGCCATTACAATCATTTCATCCGATTTGTTGACATCTCTTTCTTTATACATTGAAAAAAAAAAATTCACTCCTCAAGAAACAACAAAAATGAAATTCTACAAACAACTATGGAAAAAAATGACCAAATCCAAATACAAGTTCAGCATCAGCACAAGGTTTTTTAATTGAGCAGTTTCATCGCAATCCTTAATATTACGAGAAATTATCGACAAAAACCTTGACATTGTGATCAAAACCACAATCCCCGACCTCTTTTGAAACCTTGATTCAGCACATTACAGGAAACAGCAAGCACAGCGCTCATGCAAAAAACCAACATCATATCACATACTATTATTACACACAACACTAAAATTTGAACCTTAAAAACGATTAACTTGTCAGCATGGTTAACAACTTCAGTGCGTAGAGAGAGCCGGTTAACAAATAAACAACTTCAGGAACCAATTCACACAAACGAAACAACACAAGTAAGGGACAAAAATTGAACATTCACTTTGCCATAATTTCCTCTCTCTCTCTCTCTCTTTTTTTTTTTTTTTTCGCTTTGAAAATAGTAAACTGTATCTCTAATCCGTATACATCCATACATCGAAACGACGCCGTCAAAACTACAAACATAACAACACCTACGATTTTCCATTTCCTCAGTTTCGAGCAACGAAATAAAAAGCCGATTCGTTTCTCCATTTCAAAAACGGCGAAATTGAAATCAGAGAGATTCGAAAGGTACCTTCGATTTGAGGCAAACGGTGAAGGGGCAGAGCAGCGTTGAATTGAAGCGATGGTTTCGGTGCGAAAAGAGATATGAGAGAAGATCCACGGCCATGGCGAATAGAAGAGAAAAAACGATACATAGTTTCTGAATGTTAGGGTTTGAAGAACTCAGATTCCGACACTGTTTTCAGTTCAATGACACCACGCTTGTGTTTACATGGTTTTTTTTTTCCATCATTGTTGGGTTGGGCTCTGGCCCAACACCTATCTCATTTTTTTTCTTTATGTTAAAAAACTCATAAAATATTTAATTTAATACAAATCATTTTTTAGCTATTTATTTGAAATAACTTATATCTTATTCAAACAACTTGTTTAGCAAAACGTAAAGTATTTAATTCCCATCTTATATCTCTAATTCATATTTTTCTAAATGTTAAATGGTGTAATTTTTTTTATAAGAATGTATAATTTTTTTATTGGATTGGTCTTTATATATAAAGATAAAGTATTAATATCAAATTAAACTTTGATCTTTAATTATGGGACACAAATGTTTTTTTTTTTGTGAAATGGGGGCGTTAAAGCCCAAATATATTATTTAAAACCACGAGGAAAAAGTACAGCAGACTTGTCTGCAAACAAAGGAAAATAAGCCTAAATAGGAGAGACATGAAAGATTTTAATATCAAAGGGAATAGAAGACCCTTCCTTAGCAAACATATCTGCTACTTGGTTTGTTTCTCGAAGAACATGATTGCACTCTAGCTTATGAAAGTCAGCTGATGTCCTTACTATTAGGTTCACTAGGGAGTAACATGGATGATTACGAGAGCATCCTTCATTCAAGAATTTCACCGCTTCTACAGAATCCGATTCAATAAAAATATAAGCATGTAGAAAACGTTCTTTTTTTAAAATTTATTTATTCACATAATGTGATGTACCAAAACCCTTCCATTTTCATGGGTACCGTAGCAATTCCCAATCACTTCTTTTATCTAGAAGCTTGTTCCGCTCTTTTTTAAGGTTCAGTTTATTCTACTCACTATCCTGGTAGAAAATCACCTCTACTTAATTCTTGAAAGTTGAAACCCATAGCGAACCTTATCCTAATAGTTGTCCACCTACACAACGTTATAGTGTGATATCAATCCCCAACACTGTGGTTGGTTGGGTTGCTTTGGCATGAATCTGAGAGGAGGGGGAAGATATTAATAGAGATTTAAAAAAAAAAAAAACAAGTGTGTTTGATAGAAGTAATTTGTCGAGAATTTGGATGTTTCAAATGTAGGTTTCATGCAAAATTTCATACCTTTTCATAAGTGAAGATTTGTGAAAAAATTATGGTCTTGAAATTTGAATGACAAAATATCCCTTTTTGTGACTTTTTGTATGAACTTTTTTTTTTTTTTTTTAAATCCTAACTCTTAAACCTTAAACTTTAAATCATAAACATTTATTGCAAGGTGTAAACATTTATTGCAAGGTGTAGTGTCTCTTTTACTAAAAAAAAACTATCACAGGTTATTTGACCATCAAAAGTGTTAAATATGTTCATAGTGATAGTTGAATGCTCAACTTGAATAGTCGAATAATGTTTGTAATTTTTTAATGACCATGATACAACCTAACATAACCGGTTATGTCAACTAGCATAATTGATTATGCTACTAAATAATTATATATATATATATATAT